CATGCCTGACGCTGGTGATCCACCAGGCCCTGCCCCTCAGCCTCACCCATGGTCTCCATGGGCCCAAGGGGACAGATGGTATCACTCAGGCCTGGGCCGCGGCTGTCACTCAGCCAAATGAGTTATGAGCAGGCTGAAGGGGTGGCAGCCATGGGGTGGGGGGTGGGGGTGTTGCCGAAACAATTGCATTGAGACCCCAGAACAATGGGGGCCACGTGCCACAGGGGCAACAGTCGTTTGTCACACAATGGGCCGCTGGGGTGACAGCAGCCAGGCCAACTGCTACCGCTGACACGGGCTGGCTGAGTTTTCAAATCGTTTCCAGGTCTTGTTTTCCTACAAGGCAGCCAATCACTGGGGCAGTTGCATGGTCACCTGATGCCAGCTTGGTGGGCTGAGGGCCCAGGCCCAGCGACAACTGAGCAGCAGTGGCCATGGCAACGCTAATTGTGGCCCTAAAACACAAGGAAAGAGAGAGCGGGAGAGATGGGAAGGAGTGGGGAAGAGAGACAGAGAGAGAAAAAGAGAGACAGAAAGAGAGAGAAGGAGAGAGAACACCGGACTAAGGTGGCCTTGCAGATAGCAGGAGGAGGGTACAGGCTAATGTCCCTCTGTGGGTCCACAGTTACATCCATGAGAACACCAGAGGCTGCATTTCTTCTCTCTCGCGCGCTCTCTCGCTCTCTCTCTCTCTCTAGCTCTATGAGGCCCTGAGACTTCTATTTTTGAAACTTGGAACTTGGGCCCCTGGCAAGTGGGGTAGCAGGTATGATGGGGTTTGCAGCCTCATTATAACACAGACAAGATGTGCGGGGCCCAGTGCTCTCGCAAATTTGGGTACCTCTCTGGCATCCTCAATGGGCAGCCTTTCTTCTTCCATGGAAAGTGATGTTTTTGCTCATGAATCTGTTGAGGGGTGGTGGGCATGGGTCCTAACTGGAGCCTCCAGGGGCTGCCTGAGGTCATGGTGAAGAGCCTCAGCTTCAGGCCACACTGCCTGGGTTCCAGCCCCACCATTCCCAGTTCCATGGGGCCTTGGGCAAATGATTCAGTGCCTTGAACCTCAGTTTTTTCCATTGATAAAAGGGGGATATGGGCATGTCTTACTTCTCAGGATTGCTCTGGAGATTGAATGGTAATGTGCCTGCTGAGCGTTGAGCCCAGGGCCTTGGTTTCCCATCTGTAAAATGGGAATCGTAATACCTGCCTCAGGGATTAACTGGGAGTGTTAAATGGGTTAATACCTCTGAAGGACTTGTATGATGCTCGGCACATAATAAGTGCTCAACAAACAATAGTGTTTATCATTTTGAGGTAGAGGCTAAATAGCACGATAAAAGAGCGAAGGAAGAAATGATCTGAGGACATGTGATCTGGCTGCCAAAGTGAAGATGCTGGGACCAGGTTCCCACATCCAGGCCCGAGAATGGGCAGATTGAAAGGTGGGGTGGCTTGGGGAGGTACTAAGGGGGTGATTCCAGAGGTCGGGGAGCCCCTGGGAGGTGGCCTGAGCTCCCCACCCCTCCCAAGCTCCTGCCCCTCCCTGCAGGCTCCTGGCCACCACCAGCGATGACGACCTTCCCGGGGACCTGCAGTCACTGTCGTGGCTCACGGCTGTGGACGTGCCACGGCTACAGCAGATAGCAAGTGGCCGCGTGGACCTGGGTGGCCCCAGTGCCCCGCACTCACATCCAGGTAGGCTCATGCGGAAGGTGAGGGTGGCGTGAGGGTGGTGCAGGGGAGAGGTGACACCCAGCACTGCCACCCACCTGCTATGTGGCTGTGGCCAGGTCACTTTCTCTCTCTGGGCCTGTCTCTGCTTCTGTGATATGTGACTAATTCTATCTACTATAGAAAAATGCGGTTCATTCATTGCTCACTACTAAATGCCAGGCCCTGTGTGAGCCCAGGTTTTAGTAAAGACTAGACAGACCTACCTGGGCACATCCTGAACATCTAGAGCAGTCAGCAAACTATGGCCCACATGCCAAATGTAACCTTTGGCCTGTTTTGTGCAGCCTTCCTCTTAAGAATGGTTTTTACATTTTCCCAGCGTCATAAAAAAAACAAAGACAGATGCCATATGGCTGACAAAGTCTAAATTATTTTCTCTCTGACCCTTTAAGAAATTTCCTGACCCCTGATCAAGAGATTCAAAGAGATAATACATGGAAAGTGCTGAGCACATGGCCCGGAACACAGTAGGTGATCAATAAACGGCAGCTAGTTGCAGTTATAGCAAGTGGATTAAATGCCTAGAGACATAGAAAGTGGTGAAGAAAAACAATCAACAAAAGCAATCATCGCAGTACATTAAAAGTTGTCCAGTTAGTGTCTAGGAATATTTATTTCATTGGACAAATTGTTCTTGGCCAGAACATCTATAGCAGAGTTCAGCAAACTTTTTGAAAAGGGTCAGAGGCCATACAGTCTTCCGTTAAAACTATTCACCTTTGCCATTGCAGTGCAACACCAGCTGTAGATAATACGTAAATGAATCGGAATGGTTGTGTGCCAACAAAACTTTATTTACAAAACAGATTTGGTCTACTGGCCATAGTTTGTCAACCCCGGGTCCAGAACCCCCAAGGAACAGCCATGTGACCTGGGGCAGGTGCCCTCCCCTCTGACCCGTTTCCTCATCTGCAACGAAAGAGTAACAGAACTGCCCTCATGGTGTGTTGTGAGGATTCAACGCAGAAAGTATTTTGCACAGAATAGGTGTTCAATAAATGGTAACTGTGAAATAAAGCAGCCCTTTCCTTCACCGTGTTGCTGCGTACCTCCTGTGTGTCTGTCACTATGCCAGGCTTTTGGAGCAATGAGTCATATAAGATGTGGTCCTGGTTCTCAGGGGGCTGAGGGTCTGGTCAGAGAGAGAACAAAGTAGACAGACCAAGGCTCAAAGGCCAGAACTCAGAAAGGAGCTGAGGGATCCAGAAGGCTTCCTGGAAGAGGTGGGCCTGGGGCAGAATCATCTTCAGGTCAACTTTGTTTAATTGGAGGTGGCTGCCTAAAAGGAGGCTCAGTGCAAATCTGTGATAGGTTAGCAATGTCCATCATGGGCCGAGCTTGGGATGGTGTGTGTGTGTGTGTGTGTGTGTGTGTGCGAGCGCGCGCGCATGTGCGCACGTACACACGTGCATCTATCTGCAATTCCTGAGCTAATCCTTGGCATGGGAGCAGGACTTGACAAAGGAAGGGAGACACAAAGACATTTGGACCTAAACCTAGAGGCACTGAGGAACCAAGGCATGCTTTGGAGGAGCATGAACAGTAAATTGTTTTAGCTTCAGGAAGGACAGGAACCAAGGTATTAATGACATCACCATTATCATGATTATTATTATGACTCATTTGTTGCGTTATTATCACTTGCCCAGCAATGTGCGTTATAGACATTTTTCATTTAACCCTCACCACAACCTATAGGTAGGTAATGTCAGTAGCCCTATTGTACAGATGGGGATGCTGGGCTGGCCCGAGGTTATACGACTGGCAGGAACCTGCTCTTCATAACTATACCCCAGGGAAGTGATTTACCCAGCACTATATGCCTGGCCCCACAGTGGGGTGTGGCTCCACTCTCTGGACGTGTCCAGGGACTGGGCTATCCCTGCCCATGGCCACAGTTCTTCCAGCTTATCTGTGTGCTTCCTTTTTGCAGGTGCCTTGGCTGGGGTGGCTGACCTGCATGTGGGAGCCACACCAGGTCCCCTGCTCCATGACCCCACTGGCATGGCGCCCCCAGGCGTACTGGGTCTGGGCACCATGGCCAGCTACAGAGCCAGTGTAAGTGCTGCCACATGGGTTGGAAAGCGAGGGGCCTGTCTCTCAGGGCTGGGGCTTCCCTGCCAGCCCCTGACCCTCTGTCTTCTCCTTTCCCGGCCCCAGCAGATGAACCAGTTCCCTGTGGGGGGCCAGCCCTCCTCCAGCCTGCAGGACCCGCCACAGCTATACTCTTCAGCTTCCCAACCACAGTTCCCACTGCCCCCAGGCATCCAGCAGGTACTGGGAGCTTGGGGGGACACTGAACTCAGAGGCAGAGACCCCTGGGACCTCTCTGAGCCTCAGTTTACACACCTGGAACATGGGGATAACATTCCCCACCAGGCCCATGTCTTGGGGTCTGTCATTCAGTTCCCCCCAAAAAACCTGCAGTGGGCAAAGACAAGATTGTCTCCTGGTGTTGTAAACCCCACATCTCATCTCGCTTTTCAAGACTGGGGTTGGGGTGGGGTTATTGTGAGTGACTTATGCTCTCTCTCACCTTCTTTCTCTCTGCCAACCACACCCTGTCCCTGCCTGTGGGAAGTGCCCTCCCGTGGGCCTGTATGGCTCCCCGTTTGGGGCACGACCTCCCTACCCCCAACCCCGCATGGCTGTGCATTCATCTCAGGAACTGCACCCCAAACACTACCCCAAGCCCATCTACTCATACAGGTGAGGTCCAGAGCGGGCTGAGGCTGTGGGGGGCTTGAGGAGGAGAGGGGTGAGGGCTGCCTAGTTTAGGGTATCTCAAACAGCGAAGTGTGGTGGCCCACACTTCCAAGGGGGAGGTTTTGGGGAGTAGAGAACTCCCAGGTGGGATATGCTCTCAGAAATGACAATCGTGTGATCGGTCAACCCCCAGGGTTGAGAACCCACTACAGACATTGAACCCAAGGCTCCACACTGTCACTCATAAGCTGTGTGGCCTTGGGGAAGTGAATTGGCCTCTCTGTGCCTCTGTTCCCTCTGATGTCCAAAGTCCTCAAAGTAATAGTATTATGTGCCTCATAAGAGTTTGGGGAGGGAGTAAGCAGCCTAGTTAAAGTCAAAAGGCCCACAGATATTAACTATGGGGAAGGGATAAAGAGAGGAAAAGATGAGGTTTCTTGAGTCGGTACAAATGACAGAGCTCAGGGCCAAGGAGAAGGGCAGGGGTGGGAAAGACATAGGGCCATAAAAAGATATCGAGAGCTAACACTGTGTGAATATGCAGGGGCTGGTACTGGTGGGGTCAAGCAGGGCAGGTTTCCTGGCACAGGGGACCTTGTGCTGTCAGCCTGAGATGACTTCACACCTGGCCTGCCCCATCTTTTGCCTCCAGCTGTCTGATCGCCATGGCCCTGAAGAACAGCAAGACAGGCAGCCTGCCAGTGAGTGAGATCTACAGCTTCATGAAGGAGCACTTCCCCTACTTCAAGGTGAGGGGCCTCAGACCAGGGTATGGGTACAAGAGCTGCTCTGGCCTCTCCCTGGCACGTCAGAACCCAGAACTGAACCCGGGCCAAACTGAACCACCTTTTTAGGCTCCCAGTTATGTCTGTAGACCTGGTAGTAAGGGTGCTTGCACATGTGCACTCACACAGACATGGGCAAAAAAATTCAGACAGACAAGGGGGCATTTGAGCTGGGCTCTGACGGACAAAGAGGAGTTCACTAGGTATCCCAGGGAGACAAAGAGTAGAGGGGCCAACCGAGTTATTCAGCACAGACTCAGTAAAACACGATACGAAACGCAGATCTGGCAGGAGCTTTTGCCTCTCCGAGCCTCAGCTTCCTCATCTAGAAGAAGGGAAGAATAACACCCAGCTGGCAAGGTTAGTGAGGATTCTGCACGTAAAGGGCCTGGCAGCTCCTGGCACATGGTTGGCCATTAGTAATGTTATCCTTGTTGGCATCAAAGCAAAAAAAGAAGCGAGAGGTCAGATGGTACAAGCCAAGTGGTGATGCCCTTAGCGGAAATATTGTAGCATAGTGGGGGTGTGTGAGTGTGTGTATGTGTGTGTGTGAGTGCGTGTGTGAGAAAAAGATAGAGAAGGAATAGGGTCAGGTATGAGGTACATTACAGTATCCGGTTACCTAACAAGAAAGTAAGAGCATTTAAAAATGATGGGCATTTAGTACACTTGACCGGTGTATGCGTGTGTCAGCATCATCTCGCTTGCTTGCTGAAGGGGAGAGAGTGGAAGGTCCAGCAGCTCTGGGCCCTGTTCATTCTTGTGTAGTAATCGAAGGCTAGAGTGGAACTGCAGCTGCCCCTTCAATCGGGGCATAACCCTCTAGTTTGCCACAGTCCCCACACTCTCTCTCGTCTTCAGAAATCAGGACTGAGTGACTGACTGCACACTGTCATTTTACCCCTGCCACTCTTGTGCCCTATTCCTCTGGGCCTGAATTTGAGATCCCCCTCGAGAGGCAGGGATTATAAGGTCCCTGGAGGCATCTCCTGCATGTCTGTTTCTCCTCATAGACGGCGCCCGATGGCTGGAAGAACTCAGTACGGCACAACTTGTCCCTGAACAAGTGCTTTGAGAAGGTGGAGAACAAGATGAGTGGGTCCTCACGCAAGGGCTGCCTGTGGGCCTTGAACCTGGCTCGCATTGATAAGATGGAAGAGGAGATGCATAAGTGGAAGAGGAAGGACCTAGCTGCCATCCACCGGAGCATGGCCAATCCTGGTGAGACCTGGACCCCCGCACTCACACACACACCTCACACATCACCATCCCACCCAGTCCTAGCTCTGCCTGCCTCCTTACCCACCAGCAGCAAGTCCTAGCCACTAGAGTGGGGACATGGGAGCCTGGTGAACTTCATCTTTCCCTCCTGTGAGATACACCTCCCTTCCCCACTCCAGGCTGATGGACTGAGGGGCCTGGTCAGAAACATATGAAAAGCTGTTAAATCTCACTAAGCAATCCAAAGTTTCTCACGTAGAAACACTGAACTAAACAACCATGGGAGCACAATGTCACCCTACCTTTTCTATCACACTGGCACAGACTTTAAAAATAATAAAGTAATAACACCCAGTGTGAACTAGCATGAGGAGAAATAGGTAGCTTCATATACAATTGTTGGGAATGTAAGTTGTTCAGCTTTTCCGAGGCAAAGTAATATATCAAAACCCTGCCTACTGTACCCATCTATTGGTCCAATTATTCTACTTTTGGCAATTAATGCAGAGGAAATCAAAGATTTGAGCAAATGGTTTATAAACAAAATTAGCCATCACGAAATTATTTCTAATAGTAAAAAACTGAAAGCAAGCTAGGTATCCTGCAAAAGGGGATTAGTTAAATGGATATAATGTCATACAATGAAGTATTAGAGGTAAAAATACTTTGGCAATATAAAGAAAAGCTTCCAAAAAGTGAAAGCGGCAGGTTTTTAATCAATATACATGGTATGATCACATTTTAAAAAGCACGTATATCCACATCCATATGTGTATACATATACACACACATATATACGCAGACACATATATCCACACTCATTTGTGTGTGTGTGTGTGTATGTATATACATATATGTGTATATATATATATATATATTTGTATGTTTCTGTATATACATACACATATCTCTCTATGTAGAGAGAGAGAAAGATTGGTAGAAATACAGCAAAATCTTTACTGTGAATGGAGAGACTGCCAATAATTTTTAGATTCTTCACGTTTCTGTAATTTCCAAATCTTCTACCCTGTTCATGGATTACTGTTATATTAGAAAAAAATTACGTTTGCGTTTTTTAAGAGATGTGAAGGGAAGGACATACAAGTGACGTATGAATAGAAAATGGGAAAAGGGAGGCTAATTTCACCCAGCCTTAGGAATATTTGGCCTGGCCCTGTGAATCTCATCCCGCTTGAGGTTTGGGTGTAAAGGGAGATGATTGATTCAATATGGTGGGGAGAAGGACCATAGTAGGATCCAATAGGCCCTCCGCTGAGGGGGTACCACATGATACCCACCCCGCAGAGAGCTCTGGGGTCTGGCTTGAGACCCAGGGCCACTTCTGACACCTACGTAGTGCGACATCTTGGACAGGCCATGTCACCTTCTGGATTCTACATGTCCTTGTTTCTAAAATGGATGTAACCCAAACAGATCTTGGGACCCTAGTTGTCCAGTCTCAAAACTGTGTTACATTCAATGAAACACAAACCAATAACCAAAAATAATTTAAGAGTAATTCCAGTTTTGTTTATATCCAAGAGCTTTAAGGGTCCAATTTTTAACAATACCTCTTAATGTCTCTTTAGTGGCAGGGAGTAGCCAGGACCCCTTGCATGTTAATCAGTTTTGTCCCAGTTTTGTGGGATTTGTAACCCCTGCCTTACCTCCCTCTTGCAGGACTGTTATGAGGTTAAAGCAAAGTCCTAGAGCTCCAGTACAATCCTATAAGTCCCAGTGAGAGGAGCCAACGTTATTATCCGAGGCTCCTCTCATTCCTCAAAGTCCCTATACAATTTGTGATTTCGGTACATTTCCATAACAGAGTGTATGATGCCATCTCATAGATGAAGAGACTGAGGTGGAGAGAGTCCAAAGGCTTACTAAAGTCACACAGGTGGTAACACTGGGACTTGAAACCAGGCCTGGGGCCCTGGAACTGTAGGGTGACTTCTGAGTGACCTCTCCCACTTGCCTGCAGAGGAGCTGGACAAGCTGATCTCGGACCGGCCAGAAAGCTGCCGACGCCCTGGAAAACTGGGGGAGCCTGAGGCTCCCGTGCTGACCCGTGCCACCTCGGTGGCCATGGCCCATGGCTGCCTGGCCGTTCCCCAACTCCCGCCCCAGCCGCTGATGACCTTGTCCCTGCAGTCAGTCCCCCTGCATCACCAGGTCCAGCCCCAGGCACATCTCGCCCCAGACTCTCCTGCCCCAGCCCAGACCCCACCCCTGCATGCCCTGCCGGATCTGAGCCCCAGCCCCCTCCCACACCCCGCCATGGGAAGGGCTCCTATGGACTTCATCAACATCAGCACCGACATGAGCACCGAGGTGGACGCCCTAGACCCCAGCATCATGGACTTCGCCCTGCAGGGTGAGGCTGGGGGAAGGGGGTGATGGGAACAGAAGGAAGAGGGAAGAGGCTGGGGGGCCAGAAAGACAGGGGAGGGCAAGGGAGAGGAGGGCTGTCAGCTTTTACCCCACAGTTCATTTCTTCAACAAACACTTCCCAACCACCTAATAGTGAATTACATCAAGCATTTAATGAGCGTTTACTGTATACCAGCATTGTGCCAAGTACTTCATGGGCAGCATTCCATCTCATCCTATAACTGTCCCATGAGGCCACTGCCATTTCATATCCCTATTCTGCCAATGAGGAACCTGAGGCAAAGAGAAATGATGTCATTGGCCCAAAATCACCTGGCTAGTAAGTGGCAGGCCCAGGATTTCAACCCAGGTCTCTCTGACCCCAAACTTTCAATCGGTAACTGCTTTAACTTGCATGTCCCAGCCTCATGCCAGGTCACACTGACCTGCTCCCTGCCACATGGTCATCCTTGATACACGGGGAATAAACACATGAACAAATGAATAAATAAGAGAAGTTCAAGTTTCAGTGAAGGCTCATGATTCATCCATTCACTAACACTTGTACACCTACTATGTGCCAGCCAACAGCCCAGACAGCCTCTGCCCTCAAGGCACGTCTAGTAAGGGAAATGGACAAGTTAGCTGGTTAGTGAGCAAGTTAGTAAATAGCTGTGAAATGGGTATGTTTAAACTTCCCTGCTCTCCCCCTGGATTATTATGTGGCTTTGACCATGATGGTACCACTTAATAATGGCTAAGTGCTTTTCACACATCCCCTGGTTTAAGCCTTGGGCGGGGTCTCTGATCACCTCCATTTAATCCTGAGGAGTGTGAGGCTCTGAGACGGAAGTGATTTTCCCAAGGACACCCAATGGGAGGGAAGGGCTGGGGCTGAAACTCTGGCTTCTCCATGTTCTTCTCATGTGACCTGCCACTTTATATCCCACACGTGGCCTTGGCTCTTCCCCAAGACAGCATTCGGAGTCAGGTGTTTGACATGAAGCCAGCTCGCCCAAATGCTTTTGTCTTTGAAAGGGAACCTCTGGGAGGAGATGAAGGATGAGGGCTTCAGCCTGGACACTCTGGGGGCCTTCGGAGACTCCCCCCTCGGCTGCGAGCTGGGGACCTCGGGCCTGACCCCTGTCTCTGGCAACAGCGACCAGTCCTTCCCAGACTTGCAGGTGACAGGTCTGTATACTGCATACTCGACGCCGGACACTATGGCCACGTCAGCTTCCACTTCCTCCTCTCAGTACCTGGGCACCCCAGGGAACAAGCCCATAGCTCTGCTTTGAGCTGATGGCCTCGCCTGCCCCAGAACCTGAGCCTGGGCAGAGGGCTAACTGAGCCAGGCGGTCCTGGAAGAAAGACCCCTCACTCTCCCACAGGCCTCTGAACCTCTTGTGGGGCTGCTGGCTAACAGGAAAGCAGTTCCTCTTGCCACCCCATGGCCACTCACACCTCCACAGAAAGCCTGTGGGACCTCCCAAGTCAGAAGGACAGAGGAGAGTGGACAAGCATCCCAGCCTCCCTCACTCCATGATGCTTCTTCAAGACCTGAGGTGTGAGGCCTCCAGCCTGCTTCCCCGTTGGGCTCCCTCCACGACCTGCAGCCCACTTTGGGAGGACTTGGTGCACTGTGGAAACACCCTGGCAGGAAGAAGGGCCTTTAATTTATTCTTCTTGGATGAAACATCTGCCTCAGCCTCCAGCAGACAGGCCCTGAGGCCTGGACAGGAACTGGCAGACTGTCTCACTTCTCTCGGACCGGAATAGGCTGAACTCTGAAAATGGGTGCCCACCCCGCCGGCCTCCAGGCCCACTTCTGTAGTCTGTTAGAATTACATAGAGCAGGTCCCTGGGCCATGCCGGACACTGTGGCCCTGTGTACGTTTATTTATATTTATTGGAGCCCATCTGCACCACCTCTTTGAACCCAGCCCACAGCCCCATGGCATGAGACTCCCAGATCCCTCCCTAAATCCCAGTGATCCTACTGCCTCAATTATCTGTGAGTCACGCCTCCAACTGGCTCCGATTTTCTTTGCAGCCTTGGGCTGCTTTTTGGAACAAGCAAGCTCTTTTGATACTGTGAAACATCCTATTTTTAAAAATTAGAGACCAGATATTTTTTCTAACTGTTCAGTCATGATTCAAATCTCTCCCCATATGCACCTAAGCGTGGAGGTGCCATAGTTTCGGGTTCCAGGGGCTTTCTAAGGACAAGCTGGGATGGGAATGGGAGGAATAGCAGAGTGGGGGGCTTTTTGTACTGGAATTTAAGACATCTCAATGGAAAGAAAGCAAACCGAACCGTGTAAAGCTTGACCCATGTAGCGAGTTGGGGCTGAAGAAGCTGCAATGCAGAGTATTTATTGGCACCTGTTGCCTACTTCATTGCCCTGTGACCATTTTCATGTTTTTCCCCCCTCTTGTTGCCAATTCTTGACTTTGCAAATGAAGGTTCCACAGACAGTTGGATTAGAGGGGAGCCAGGCGAGTGTCTGGAGAAAGGAGAAGGTAAATAGGCATCTTCTAGTTATTTGAGACCGAGAAACTCAGTAGCGGCTCAGCACTTTCTCTCTTGACTATCTGGATATTTGGCTCCTGTGTCTGGGAGTTCCCGAACCCTCGAGCCAGAATTTTCCGATTAATCAACAGGTTAATCAACAGGCCAGCCACCTGAGAGGTTCAGTGTTAAGCCCTGTCTTGAATGACCATCTTTAACTTCTTTCTAGTTCTAAGCTTTCCGCGGAGTATCATCTTTAGATACAGCCCAGGGCTACCCGTCTGCCCAGCACTGCTCAGCTGCTTTGTGTGACGTGACCTCCGATAAGTTAATGTGTTTGGGTTGTTAATGGAGACCCCGTGTTCGGCTGATGCCAAGACTATGTAAGCGTAGTGTTGAATTATTGTCTTCTGTCAATAAAGGCTGAATGTCAGCTCTTGTGGCTTCAAGTGAGGTATGAAGGAGGGGAAAGGACAACAGTGCCGCTCACCCCTCCCATGTCAGACTCCATTTACAGATGGAGAAACTGAGGCCCAGAGAGGCTACACCACAGCCACATCGAGTCCAGGTCTTCTGATGCCAGGTTCCCATCACACCAGAAACTGGGCAGAGTTTGTCATCGATCAAATTAGCAGGGTTGCTGTTCACTGTCCCTCAGTGCCAGGCTCTTGACAGGCATGATCTCAGGTAGGGAATGTGAACCCCATTTACTGCTCAGAGAGTGGAGGCTCAGAGAGGTTGGGAAGGACTCAAGGTCACCTGAAGAGGCAGGACTGAATCCATTGTGCTAGACTCCAGAGCCGGAGTTCAGCGGTGCCTCTCGGAGCTCCCTCTTTGGTGTATACCTGGGGTCAAAGAAGGCAACAGGTGGAAGGAGTTGTATCCTTTATCAGGCCCTGTGCTAGTCACTGCTGTGAATTCGCTCATTCAATCCTCATTATAACCCTAACAGGCATATCTTATTCATAGACCCATTCAGCAGATGAAGAAACCAAGCCCTGGAGGAATTAAGCAGGTGACTTGCCACCCCAGATAACCGCAAAAGCAGGTATTCATGAGGAGTCTAACTCTTAAGCCTCCCCAGGAAGTGGCTTGCAGCCTCACTGGGGAGGCCGGACTCACATACATGCAACAATTAGCAAGTAAGGAAGAGAAGGGGATGATGGGACTACAGATAGTTACTGGGAAGCGCTGAATGGGGTCTCAGTGGCGACCAGATGGGTGGCAGGGGGAGGGTGCCTGCAGCAGCCCTGGGCTTCCTTTCTCTCCCTAGCATCCCTCCTCAGCTTGGCTTCAGGGTGGCCCTGTGACCCGGGCCTGGCCAAAGAGGACATCACAGCTCCCTGCCACCCCCAGTGATTGGTTGGGGTTGGGGTCAAGTAACCCAGGCTATGTTGGTCACAGCTGGTGAGCATTACTCCATGGGACATGGATGCCCTCCTGGGGTGCTCAACTGGGAAGATGAAGCCTGAGCAATAGGGTCAACATGTGGAGAGGGCTGGAGAGCCCTAACTTGAATGACACCCATTCCTTACACAGGCAAGTGGGGCCAGAGTCAAGGCAAAAAAGCCAAGGTCACAGTTTTTTGTTGTCACAAGCTCTAGGTGAGAGTCCTGTTCACAGCCAGAGGCACACCTGCACAGGGGCCACACTGGTGCCAGGAGAAAGCATAAAGGAGAGACGGGAGGAATGAGTCTTCACGAAGATTCTCGGGAAGACAAACACAAATCACCACCATTTCACCATTTCAGCACCGGCCGTGGGCTCACTGAATTAAACACTCATCAGGCAGCATCTCCCTGAAACAGCACGACAACCTGCATGCGGTCAGGGGGATGGTCTCAAGTCCCTGATGAGAAAACAGGCTCAGGGACGGTGGTTGTGCAGTTCTCCCCTTCAACGAATCACACACATTCTAACAAAAATAATAACACTGGCTCTCATGCACAGGGGCTCACTCCATGCTACACACACCGTGACAGCGCTTATCCCATTTATTCCTCCTACTTCCCATGGAGTAAAGCTGTTATTATCCCTTGTGGTAGTCAGAAATAATGGCCCCCAGTGGTGGCCATGACCTAATCCCCAGAGCCTGTGACTATGTTAGATAAGGGGACATGGATGTTGCAGATGGAATTAAGTTTGCTGATCAGCTGATCTACGATAGGGAGAGTATCCTGGATTACCCAGGTGAGCCCAGGGTAACCACGGGATCCTTAGAAGAGGGAGGCAGGAGGGTCGGTGTCAGCTCCGAAGATGGAATGAGGCCTCTCTCGAAGTTGGATAAAGCAAAAAACAAACAACAAAAACAAGATTCTCCCTTAAAACCTTTACAAAAACCACAGCCTGCCAGCCCTCTGATTTTAGCCTGAGACCCATTTCAGACATCTGACCTCCGGAACTGTAGAATAAATCTGTATTGTTTTTAAGTCACAAAATTTGTGGTAATTGCGACAGCAGCCATAGCAAATAAACGTATCCCCATCTTTATGGAAGAGGAAACTGAGTCTCAGGGAGGCCGAGCAGCTTACCTGTGATGAGTGAGGGGTAGAGACGGGATACCAGTGACACTCCGCTTCCCCAAGGTCTATGCGATCTCAGAGCGCTCGGCTGACACCATCTGCTTGCTGGTTTAAAGAGAAGCAAAACCTCTCTGAGATTACGCAGCTGGAATCTAACCCCAGGTCTGCAGATCTGTCAGCCGCGACACTGCCTGCTGGAGTGTTTGCTCCTGAGTGGAGGTTTAGGGAAAGGGATAAAAGATACGGTCAGCAGTAGGAGACGAGGGGGCGGAGCCGGGGTTCACCTCCTCCGGACGGTGCTGGTTGTGCCCAGGCTGTTCTTCCTGTGTATGGATGCCGGACCTCCATCCCAGTAGTCACCGTCCCCTGAGTCTGAGGGTAGCAGGATAAACACCAAACTGGTGGCTGAAATATGGGCAACTTCATGGGTAGAAGGAAGGGAGACGTGGCAGCCAGGGCCGGAGCAGCTGGGAAGCGGGAGGCAGAGGAATCGAGACTTGAAAGGCTCGATGGTGGGGTCTGTATATCCCTCCATGACATTTTTGAGGGATGAAAGTGACTTGAGTTAAAATTACTCCACCCATTAGAATGTTTGAGGGATGTAAGTAAAAAGGTTGAGTGACTTGAGTTAAAATTACTCCACCCATTAGAATGGCTACTATTAAAAACAAACATTAAACCAGATTGGTGAGGATGTGGAGAAACCAGAACCCCGTGCACTGTCTGTGTTGGTGGCAATGTAAACTAGTGTAGCTGCTATGGAAAACAGTGTGAATGTTCCTCAAAAAATTAAACGGAATTATCATATATCCGGCAATTCTACCTCTGGGTGTCTACCCAAAAGAAATGAAAAGAGCAACTTGTACAGCCACGTTCATAGCGGCATGATTCACAAGAGCCAAAAGGTGGAAGCAACTCAGGTGGTCATCCATGGATGGATGGCTAAACGAAATATGGTCTACCCACAAAAGAGCCTTGAAAAGGAAATTCTGACACCTGCTACAACATGGATGCGCCTTGATGACATTACACTAAGTGAAATGAGCAGTCATGAAAGGACGAATATTGTATGACTCCTTATACGAGATACCTAGAGTAGTCAAGTTTGTAGAGACAGAAAGTAGATGGTGGTTCCCAGGGGCTGGAAGTAAGGAGAAGTGAGGAGTTAATGCGTATGGAGTTTCAGTGTGAGTTGAAGAAGATGTTCTGGAGAGAGATGGTGGTGATGGTTGTACAACGATGTGAATATACTTGATGCCACTGAACTTCAAAGTGGTTAAAATGTAAATTGTTACGTATATCCTACCATAATTGAAAAATAAAAAATGTCTTTTAGCCTCTTGGCCTGTGTTTCTTGCACTCCATGCTGCTCAGAGATATACCTCATGGGTCAGGGTATCACAAGATAGAGAACATCACTGGGAGTGGCCTCTTACCTCACTTCCCAGAAGGGAGCCACCTCTTTGCCAGTAGACTGCTGTCCAAAATGTACCCTTGGCTCAGCAGCCAGAGGGATCTAGGGACTCCCAGGTGTACATTTCACTTTTCATATATATCCCAGAAAGGGGGAACACAGGGGCCGAGGTCTAACACCCTAGAAAGGTGATCAGGGAGGGCTGCCCAGAGGAAGCACCATTTGAGTTGGGTTTTGAGGGATGAATAGGTGTCAGCCAGGAAAAGACAATGGGGGAGAGTGTTTCCAGCAGTCTGTGCTCACTTAGAGGTGAGTGAGAGGTGAACTGACAGTTGGGTCCGGTTGGTGCACGAGACGCGGCGGCAGGAAGGTGAGGCTGGCATTGGCTTTGGGCCTCCTGGAATCAGGGGTGGGGGAAGAACTTTGTCCTGGGGGCACTCAGAGCAGGGAGGGGACATTTTGGGAAGATCTTCTGGCTGCTGAGCAGATGTGTTATGGAGCATAAACTACTGGCAGAGAGCCTTGGCGTGGCTCGGGGCGTCAGCCTGAGGGTGGGCTTGCCCATGCTACTTGGGTGGATACACAGAAGCCTGTCCTCTGCGTGGGGGTCGTTTATGGAGCCTTTCTGTGGTCTGCTTTGGTGATCCTAGTTTCCTTCTCTATTGCATTTCTCTCGCAGTGACTCTGAAAGGTGGATCTGTCTCTAAAGACACAGAACATTAAAATACAACAAACCTGGGGGGACTTGTGGACTTTTACACGATTTTGTCTAGTCTTGACCAACCTCGAGGTCCCCTTATGGTTAACCATTTGCAATTTCTACTTGCCGGGGACCCTGGATGTCAGCTTCCAGTAAATAATTCAACTTTTTTGTGTTTGGAAATTTTTCAGTGTCAGGAAAAGCTGACCTTGGACGAAAAGGCTAAGTGACTTTTGGAGCTGAGGAAGGTAATTAAGTGGAGAAGAACAAAGGAAAAGACAGAAGATGGGAAGGCTCTAGCAGTGTTGGGCGGTGGGGAGTTGGGGGGTGGGGAGCGGAGTGCCAAGTTAGGGAGCAGCTCACATTCATGATGTGGACAAGTCGGATGTGCAAGGCCATGGGGTTCATCTGGGTGGCTTAGGGAGCTCTGGAATCTGCCGATCCAGGGAGGGGGACTTTAGGGAAAGGAGGCAGGGCAGCTGCTCACCCCACCCCTGACATGAGGACTGGCACAAGAAGTGTGAGATTCTTGATGAGGGACCTGGATGACGATGTTGGCTGAATTAGCCAGGGAAGGAGGGAGGGAGGAGTGGAGCCTGGTTTGGGTGGCGTTCCCACATTTCAGAATAACCCTCACAAAGGGTCAGGATATATGGCAAGGCATAGCCAGATTAGATCTGGGTTAACTCGGGTGCTTGGCCCCACCTCTTGCCAGCTATGTGACCTTGGACAAGTCTGTTCATCTCTAAGCTGGGGTTTTCCTGTCTATAAAAATGAGGATAGAGTATAGCTCAGAGGCTTGTGAGGATTACGTGGGATGAGGCCAGGGCAATAGCCAGTAGCCATCACCCTGAGCATTCAGTTTGGACCTGAGTTGCTGACCAAGGCCTCTGTCCACACTCGGTAGTCCGATCCCTTGTCTTCTCCTTGGAGACTGGCCATGCTAAGTCCCCTAAGGGAGCAAAGTCCACTGTAACAGAGAAGGTACTTTCAGCTGATTGTCAAGGGTCTGAACTCAGACCGCACAGCCAGTCACTTGTGTCCATGTTTGCGATCAAGCCGAAAAGACTAAATACTCCACCTATGGCCTTTGGGATATGAACTCCCATCCGAGCTAAGTCCTCCTGAGCTGGGGGCTCACTGCAGATCTGAGCTGTGGCAGGATGGTGAGCTGCAAGGGACTCGCCCAGGGAGACGGCCTGCCCTTTCTGGTCTAGAGAATAAGTCAAAGCCAAAGTGATTCCTTTAAAAAATAATTTATTCCACACATCTCCTGGTAGGTTTTTCTGCCCACCGTTCCTGGGTAGCAGCTAGTCATCGACTGGTCTTTCCCTCTAGAACCAAGGGGGGCTTCCACACCCAGAAAACACTGTCCCCAAAGCAGCATGGATTTCCCTCCACTGGCCTCAGGATGGGACAACAGATAATTCATTCTTTCTCCCACCCCTCGCAGCCCCACACCACCTTCACTTGCCAGGGCTGTCAGTGGCTGACGGCCAGACTATTTCCTCAAGCATCCAGCTTGTGGGGGCTTCCCTAGGCAACCTTGTCGGCCTCATCACTGACCTCCAAATTGGCCGGGCGTAACGTTGGGTGTCCTCAGACAACTGCCCATCAACACAGTGGCGGGTGGCCAGCTCCTCCTATCACTGGCACCCAGGGACTGATGGGCAGGGCCGGGAGGATGGCAGGCCCTGATGCTGTGCAGCCTTTAGGGCTGGGTGCTGGTGGCAGTGTCGAAAAGGCCTCCCTGAGCAAACTGGTGTGGTACTTGTGGGCCAGTCCTTAGAAACCAATGGCTCTGCCCTCGAAGCCGGATCCGGCCATGGACATCAAGGCGACAGGTGAGGGAGTGACGGCGACTTGAAGGCGACCTCCAAGGGGTAGTGGCAGTCACAGCAGTGAAGCTCGTCAGTAGGCTAGGCTGTGGGTTTGGGGAGGGCTTGCCCTCCTTTTTTCTCTCTCAAGAGGCCAGGAGGGTGCCCAATCCTATAGTGGGGGAGAGGCTAGTCCTTATTGTCCTCAGAGGGGAAAGGGCAGGCAGAGGGCTATGAGTCTCGCGGAAGAGATCTCCCAATGCGCTGGAACTTAAGGCCAAATAATTTTGTCATTTTGCTTTCCCTCTCTCGAAAAGAGAATCTTCGCTGACGAGCGCTAAGCATGGCCTGCCAATGGGATATTCCTAGTGATTCACTAGGGGCCATCTGGAGGATAAAATACCATTTTATTACCCTTATAAAAAAATCATTCATATTCTTTCCTGGGTGACTTGATAGCCTCCAGATATTATCATTACAAAAACAGGTTTCTTTTCCTCGTCTTGTCTCTATATGTCTTTCCTTGGCCTCTTTATTCTGCTGAAACAGAAGATGCTTACCGCAAGAGCTGGTCTCAGAGTAAAAAAATAAATGATTCCATGATCTGATATAAAACGGGTTGAAAAAGACACCTGGGTCCTGCATGCCAGGCCAGGCACTGGGAAGGAAAAGGAAACGGGTGTTTGGGCTCAATTCAATTCAGCGATGCAGCAAAAATGTCTTAAGAGACGAAACAAACTTCCTGATGATGGAGAAAAGGCTCTTTCTGCTTGGAAGGGGGCTGTTTATTCCTGAGCTGTTTATTGAGACAGGAATGAGTTGGGAGCCAGTAGCCCTGCAGAAATGTCCAGGAATTTTTTTTTAAAAAGTAAACCCTCAAGGTCTTGGTGAGGGTTTGCGGTCAGCAGATCAGTGTGGTTTGTCTTGCCCATGGTCCTGCAAGTGGCCGGGTGAGCAGGGGTCAGGTGGAGGCCGGACTGTCCATGGTGGACAGGAGGTGAGCGACTTGGGCCCGCTCGGCCGGGCTGATGTGCTGGCTCATGTGCATCATGCAGTCCAGGGCTACCTCAGGGTTTTCCTGGACCAGGCTGCAGGAGATGGGAGAGAAAGGTTGGGGTCACTGCTCCCACATAGTTCAGTGGGCCTTAAGATGGCCCCAAGAATCCCTGTGCAGGGCCAGGTCACGGTCCTGGGTGGGCAACAACCTGCAACTCCTGAATCTCTTCCTGCTGTGGTCGCCATGGGGATGACAGTTCCATGGGGCAGGAGAGAATATGACCCGAGGAACAACAATGGACCCTATTGGTCACTAGCTATGTGACCTAAAACATGACATTTCCCCTAAACTTCAGCTTCATGCCTCAAAGGAGTCCCACATGATCTACTGCCTTCTTCCCAGGGGACCCCATGGGAGAAGGAGGAGCAAATCCTCCAGAAAGGCTGATACGAAATGGAGCCAGCAGCCTAAGGCCTATGAGTTCAGAATATGGGTTCTCTAAGCAAACATGTTCTAGCTGTGACCTCGGACAAACCACCCTACATATTCCAACAAGGATCATGAATTGAAATCACTGCAAACCCTCCACATAGCATCCCCAAGGTTCTGTGCTGGGTCAGTGGATATGGGGAAGTTTTGGCCTCTTTCTGGGGGGCCGGGCCCAACACTGGGCTGTAGACCCCAGCCAGAGGCCTGAGACCCTGCAGTGCAGTGGATTTGAGTGGCCGCTCTGAGGTCAGGCAGCTGGAGGTGAATCTTGGGTTGGGCACTTGCTGCTAGGTCCGAGGGACAGGGTGGGGCGGCCACTCACCCTCGGATGGTCTTAAGGGCAGAGTCTCGCTTCAGGTACTTGATGTTTTCTCGGATGGTGGAGTGCAGGCCATCCTCCACCTGCCAGTGCTGCTCCAGCCACTGCACCACCATCTGATTGTTGTCCCACAGGTAGGCCTAGGGAGGAGGCAGAGGCACTTCAGAGAGGAACCCTGCTACTAGGCATGACACCCACCCGCTCTCCTGCCCTATCTCCGGCCCAGGCCCACCTTGACTCAGAGAGGAACCCTGCTACTAGGCAGGCCCACCCTCGGGCCCCCATGACACCCACCCACTCTCCTGCCCTATCTCCGGCCCAGGCCCACCTTGACGGCCCCCTCTGTCTCCATGAACCAGCGGCGCAGCATGGACTGGATGTGCACATGGCTCAGCTCGCTGCTGATCTGCAGGATCTCCTGCTTGACCTGATCCTCCAGCAGGAGGCGGCGCAGGCGCCAGTACAGGAAGGATCTTGAAGTCTTCCATTCCAGAATGTCCTGCGGACAAGCCCCAGGCCTGAGTCTCCGGAAAGGGGGCAGGGGGTGGGGGGATGGAGAGGCAGTAGGCTGCCTGGGGCTGTGCCCTGTGCCGGGTGCAGCTCTGTGATCATTCCCAGCGTTGGGAGGTAAAGGTACTTTCTAGGGAAGTGGCAGAGCCAGTACTTCTCCAGGACTCTTGACTGGCTTACCAGAGAAACGGAGGGCTCAGGCTGGCTGAGAAGGAGCATGAGACACAAGGATAGTAGATGACTATAAAATGTCCTCTGGGGAGGGTGCTAATGCAAGGCAGAAACAATGGCAATCTGGTCCAGCGGTTAGAGACAGACGCACACAGGTCAGACTGATGGTTCCCAAATCTTGCAGCCTACTAGAATCTCTTGGGGATTTGAAAAAATATATACTGATGCCTGGCTCCCATCTTAGATATTCTGATTTCATTGGTCTGGAGAGCCACTTGGGCACTGGGATATTTTAAAGCACCCCAGGCGATTCTAATATGCAGCGTTTGAACCCAAATCTCTTCCATTTGTTGGAAACCGGGTGACCTTAGTATGGGCCATTCGCACGCAGCCACGAAGCTGCCGGCTCTTACAGAGATGACGCCTTTCTCCAGCATCCTGCCAGGCGTATCGTGGAGGTCGGCGAACTGTACCGCCACCTGGTGGTATATGGGAAGTAGCAGGTCCTCCCGGGCCTTCAGCTGGCTCTCCAGGTCCTTGCGGTCCTTGTCGGAGAGCTCGGACATTCCTGTGAGCAAAGGCACAATCCCGAGTTTGCAGAACAGGCCTTGCCCCAAGAGAACTCTGAACATTAACTCCGATAGCACTCCCAAACCAAGCTGCTCGTGCAGTCTCAGAAATACATGCACGTGAGACGGCATTCAACATGCAACTTTAAATCTGCCCCCTTTTATCAGACCCACTGTGCTTGCTTGTAGGATACCATCAGTTACTATTTCTAATACCCATTATAAAATATAATAAAGGAATATTATAAGCAATTATAAGCAATTCTATGACAATTTAACAACTTTGATGAAATAGGCAAATTCCTTGAAATAGAAACTACCAAAGCTCACCCAAGAGGAAACAGATAACCCAGTTAGTCCTGTATGTAAAGAAGATGAATTCAAAGATTTAAAGATATCATGTTAGTACAAACTCAGGAAATAGGAGGGAACATTTCTCAACTCATTCTATAATGTCAGCATCACTATGATGCCAAATCAAAGAAATTATACACACATACACAGAGTAATAAATCTTGCAAACAGCACAGTTATAAAGACACTGCCACCTAATATGTACTTTTAAAGAGAAATAGATCTAAGGCTACAAGTGAAACAAAGCTATCACTCAAACAAAATGGTTAAAATACTTCATGTCTAATTAGAAATTCTAAAGAGACAATTTGCTACCGCAATTCTGATGTTTCTTCATTGGCCCAAAATACTGCAATGGTTATATTTTATGTGTGATGAGAAAAAAACTTACTAAGGCATTGTGTATGTCTTTTAATGTTAAAGGGGTTGATTTGCCATGTGTGCGCATTTAAAATATCTCGATTTTTGTAGCTGCATTTTGGTATATCTTTACTTTAAATTTAAATACTAGAAACCTCAAACAGTGGAGCGGTCTGGGCCTCTCGATCTGAGGGGTGATGCATTTTGGACCCTCTCACCTAGCTGTTCCACAAGCTTCTTGTAAGTCGGGTCGATCCTTCTCATGGCCTTTAACAGGTCTTTCTTTCGGAACTTAATCTCCACTGTTCCCTCTGGCTCCAGAACACTCCCCCTGAAAAAAGAAGAGGCGGGGTGGGGGGTATATGAGGAGTCCACCAGGAAGTGACAGACAGCCAGAAGACACGGGGGTGGTGGTAGAGAACAAGGAAATTGGTGTCAGTTCTCGGCTAGTTCACGGACTGTATGACCTTGGGCAGGTCATTTCCCCTCTCTGGTCATCTGTTTCTATATCCACACAATGAGGGACTGAACCACTTTTTAAAATAAAGTTTTCAAAACTCGAGAAGGCCCCTGGAGCTTCAAGGGTGTGTGACCGCCTCCAGAACAGCACAGCCTCCTGCTCTGCAGCCACAGCCCTTTCTGACCGTCTGGACTTCTGCTCGCCTAGCACCAGGGTGCTGTTTCTGCTCTCCTTAATGCTCACAAAGGCACAATGAGGAGTCCAACATGGTCCCGTTTCCAACCCCCTCACACACCCCGCTGTCCCCACTGTCTTCTGATAGCTTGGAAAAACTGAGGAATACTTTATATAGCTCTGAGCTTCCTGGTGGCCAGAATAAAAAGTTAATTATGACCCCATTCGAGGCTGCTCATGTCCTGAGTCTTCCTGAAGTGCTGACTTCAGCAACCCCCACGAGAGCCTAGGTGCACTGAAGACAGGGCAGGCTTGGCTCATTTGCCTAACATAATGCCTGGTATACAGTAGGTACTCAATAAATTTTCACTGAATTAATGACTGAATAAAGAAGTAGACATAGGAATAGAGTGTCTATATTTTGGAGAGAATTACTCTTGAGGCCTTTATATCCTACACAGCACGGAGTCTTCACTTTGAAAGTGCTCAAACACTATTTTGCAAGTATTATTGTTATCCTTTCTGTAGAAGTTTCTGGAATGAATTCCACCTACAAAAAAAAGTACCAAGAAGGTTTCTCTCCCCAAAGAATAGATATCCTCTCAAGGGAGTATTCATCCAGTCATTTGTTTGGCCAGTATTTCCCAACCACCCTCTAGGAGTCAGGCACTATGCTAGGTCTTGGGTTATATAAACCAGATAAAATACAGCCCCTATAGAAACTCATAGTTTTGGGAAAGACTCAAGAGTGTAATGTGAACTAGATGACTGGTCACATTTCCCTTTTCATCTTGGCTGCCAGGAAGCTCAGCTGCTTTTGGTCTTCCCTTATTTGATTGCAAACTTCCTTGGGAAGCAAGTGAGTATAAGTTATGAAAGTAAAAGACAATTCTTCTACCACCTCCATTTTTCAGCCACTAGCTCTACTGAGAAAATCCAATTGGACATTGGATGCGAGTTTCAGATTGGTAAAACTGGAAGCTCCCTGTCCTTCAGAAACTCAGAACATCCCCGTGACCCACAACCAGGGGCTCAAAGGTGATGGGGCCTGAGGAATGGCAGTGAGAATAAGAAAAGGCTAAGCTGAGTTGAGGGCAACACACCCACCTGCTTTCTTTGTCCGCATACATTTCTATGCACAGGGGGTTGATGGTGGAGTCTAGGACCGCCCAGGAGCCTCCTCTGAGCTCAGCATAGGGTGGGATGTAGATGAGGATTGGCTGTTTGTATTGCCTGAGGCCATCCACGATGTAGGCTCCAAACTTCAGCACCTGGTCGTACATGTCTGAAAAGCAAAGCAACCGTCTGGTGAGGCGACTTCAGGCCCCAATACTGTCCACACGCAAAGCCCGCAGTCTTTGCTGTCCTGGGAGAGCATGTTCAGTGGGGAGGCTTCATAGCACCACCATAGGAAGAACACTGGGCTGAGATTCAGGAGCCAGCCCTGGCACTGATGGCTTTACCATCTGTTTTACCAAGAGGCAGCTAAGGGTCTATGTGACTTTGGACTGTTAAAGAGTGAAAAATTTTCAAGTGAACCAACTAGCTAAGTCAGCTACAGGGAAGAAATATCTTTAGATACCAGAAGTTGTCCTACTTGCTTGGGTGTGGTTTAGGAGGTGTATTGTATAAAATATGAAGATGGCCAATGTCTGCTTCTGTAACCCACTTACTTGTTAACCAGGGTGTGGTACTAGGTGATGTATTGTGCTAATGGCCAACTTCTGCTTCTGTAATCTGCTTGCTTGTTCTAGGTTTTATAACTGCCTCACTCCTCAAACCCCGGGGCTGATCTCCTCTAGCCCTGCGTGGTAGAGAGTCAGTCGCCAGCCGGCTAATAAAGGCTCATAATTAATCTCAATTGGCTCCGTGGGTCTTAGAATCATTCGCGCCATAACAGACAAGTTACTCTCCCTTCCTGGGCCTTAGTGTCCCCATCTGTAAAGGGAGGCATAGAGAGTAACCAATCTCGAAGATTCCTTCCATCTCTGACCTGCCCACTGTCCTGTCCCACTGTTTCTAGCACAGAATCACGGAGTCCCCTCCCTCCTGTCCACAGAGAGCAGGCCCTTATTTTCTACTAAGTGCCAAACAGCTGACATTGTAATAATAATGTAATAATAAAATCAAGCATAATCACACCAAGAGCTAACTGGCTCATCAAATCCTTTCTTTGGCCCTGTGAAGTTGGCCTTATTCTGAAACTGAGCTCAGAGAGGTCACCCAGCTAGCTAGCAAGGAATCACAGCTAGTCCGCCCACCTCTCAGGCCAGCTCTTTCCTCAACATTCCACTGAGAGCCACTGGATCTCAAAACATGCTTGAGGGCTTAAAAAGCACTCACACAACTGTCAGGTCACTGAGGCTCACAGCAGCCCCCAGAGGAAGGCAGGGCACACGCACCTTCTCCTCATTTTACCCTAAGCAGGAAGGCGACCGGTCGCCTAGGGCATTCAGCAGGTTCTGAGGCCGCCCCTCCCTGCCCTGTCACTCAGGGTATGACCTCCAACAAGTTACACTGGGAACCCTCAGTTCATCTGTAAAATGGGCTGACATTATCTGAACTGCTTCTGTCCTCAGGGTTGAGTTGGGTGATGGCTAAGATGACCGTGGGACCACACACAGAAAAACAGCAACACCACCCGGACGGGGCTGTCCTGGATGCTGACCTCGTGGCTTTAGAGCACCCACGGCGGAGGCCGCCTTACCTTTCATACCACCAGAGAAACCTCTCCAGTTAGCGAAGATCATCAGGGGCAACTTCTCCCGGTTGAAATCCTTGATGACCTGGGCCGTTTTGTAGGCTGAGTCCGGGAACCACACCTGGCCTGCCTGCTGGATTATCTGGAACATAGAGCCAGCTGGATGAGACTTCTGTATGCAAGGGTGACCTCAGGACGTGGGATAGGCGGGCAACCTGACTGGCATTGGCATCACACCAGAGCCAGGGCTCACAGGGAAGGCCCAAAGCTGGTGTCTAAGGATCCCACTGGGCCCTCAGACTGCAGCGCAGAAGGGTCCTGTTGCCCCATTTATAGACTCAGAGGGGCACCAAACTAGTCAAGGCCAAGCTGAGTCGGGTCCTAGGACCCATCCTTTGGCTTCTGAGCTCCTTCCAGGATACGGTGTGGCCCAACCTAGAAAAACCAGCAGGGATTTTTGGAAGCAAGAGGCAGGAGGGATTCTTAGGGACCTTCTGTCATCCTCTGCAGAAGAAGGAAGATGGTATGAAACACTGCAGCCTGCAGAGAGTGTGCCAGAGAAATGGCACCGAGTCCTGATTCTGGGCTGACTCCTCTGAGCTGGAAAGGCAGATATGCAACCACCAGGATCCACTCCTGTCGCTGAGCCAGTTGAAATAGCAGCCCCAGCTCCCCAGCCCCCTCACCTTGGCCTCAGAATCCAGGTTGGCAGGGTCCGCGGGCACCGCCACCTCCACCGTCCGTGTCTCCACAGAAATTACTCCAACAGGGATCCCCCCAAGCCTGCAAGGTAGAGCACAGGTGAGCCAGGTGCCGGGCAGCACCTCCAGGTGGATTTAAAAGCAGATGGGTCCACCCAGGCCCCGCTGACATTCTATGGGTATTCTGGGAGTAGGCACTAACGACTGGGATGAGGGCACGCAGAGGCCTGCACTGTTGTCATTCTGTCAGGGTATTTTATTTTATATTATTATTATCATTTTTTAAGCCTACAGCATCTGGTATTCCTAGGTGGTCTTCCATCCAAGTACTAACCAGACCCGACCCTGCTTAGCTTCTGAGATCAAATAAGATCCGGCATGTACAGGGTGGCATAGCCGTAGACCGGCAGGGTATTTTATTAGAAGGCAAAGCAGGAGCCCAAAGCAATAAGCTACACGAGTTGGCAGGCTGGAAAGGTCCTGTTGGTCCCCTTATTGGGGCCACAGCCATCATGGGTCAGGCCAGTGCAGGGTCTGAAGCAGCACTGTTCATTATAACTTTCTGTGATGATGACCATGTTCTCTATCTGCTCTGTCCAGTGCAAAAGTCACAAGCTTCACGTGGCTACAGAGCACTTGAAATATGATGAGTACAACTGAGGAATTGATGTCAACATCTTTCATTTTAATTCATTTAAATTTGGATTGTCACATGTGGCCGGCAGCTACTCTATTGGAAGGCGCAGGTCTAGACACCAAGTTGCATCTGGAAAGGAATGAGTGATGCTGAGCCTGAAGGAGCTTCAGCTCAGGCGATACCATGACATCTGTAACTGTCACCGATGGCGGCTGGCCACTGCCATGCCGCGTGCATCACTGGATTACTCTCATTTACTCATCCAACAACCCTACGAGGCAGGTGCGGGGGAGAGCAGTCTTCAAATGAAGGAAGGGCTTCCATGTGGAAGGAGCAGATTTAATGTCAGATTAAAAAAAAATTTTTTTTTTAATGAAATCCTTATGGAGAAGTAACTAGTGCCAATACTATAGGCTTAGTGTTATAATGTTTATTGCCCGGGAGGTAGATGGAGGTAGATAGTAATAAAGTAATAATAATCATGATAGTAATAGCAGCCACTACCACTTATGGAACATGTATGGTATTTTAAGTGATTAACATGTATTACTCCTAATTATCACCACAATCCTATGGGGGTAGACTCATCATCCCCGTTTTATAGATGAGGATGTGAAGGCTCAGAGAAGGCAAGTGACAGAGCAAGGGCTTGACCTTGAGTCTGACTCCAGAGCCTAGACTTGTAGCAACTACTTGGTGCCAGGAATCTGAGTGATACATTATGAGGATGCCCCTTTGGGCTCCATAAAAGGAGGAAAGTTTGGGCCACCAGAGGTGCACCGAAAGATGGTGGCTGCACTGCTGGGGAAGGCACTTAAGCAGTTAAGCCTTCCACCATCTACGGTATACAACAGGGTTCCTGCCCGTGGCCCTCCAGAAATGAAATTCACAGTCTTGAGTGTCTATGTAGTTTTCTGATGAGAGCACCCAGGGCTGCCTTCTGATTCTCAAAGGGGCCCAAGTCCCCCGTGGCTAGAGAGCCCTGTCCCAGGGGCAGACAGTGGGAACAAGGGTCCCAGCCCCCAGCAAGAAGTTGGCTGAGACGCCTTCTAAGGCCACAGACAAATTTAGACTGCATGAAGAAGTTCATCATCCAGAAAACCATCCTCCAAGTCAGTCTTTCCTTCAGAAAATCCTGGGGCCAGGAAGAAAGTGTCCGAGTGTCCAGTGAGGCTGGGTGTGTGCAACCTGACCCGCCCTCAAGGTTACCTTGCTCGTCCCGTCACCACAGTCTGGGCCCAGGGTGCCAGGATTTCTCTGAAACTGCCGTGGTCGAAAAATCCACTCTGCCAGGATCCCTTTAGAGCTGTAGGCAGAAGGCAGAAGCCCGGGCTGAGGGGCAGGGTGGATGAAGGCCCCCAGAGTCCACTTGGTGCTAAGGATAGAAAGGTCTTCGCCTGACAGCCCAGATACCTTTTTTTCCTGGAAAACCAGGAAGATCCCAATCCCCTGCCAAACCAACCAACCAACAAACAAAAAAACCCGGGGCTGCAAAAAATACACCAAGTCAGGAATTCAGTTCATATAGAATATCCAACCACATCAATTCCCGTCAATGCCAAAAACATGGAGATCCTAATCACAGAGTGACGGACCCTTTCAGAGGGTGGGGATTCAGGAATGGACCGCCTGTCCTGAAAAACTCATCCGTGACCTGCTGCTGGCTGCAAGTTAATAACCATTTAACGTTCCGTTTAACAGGGAAGAAAATCTTCAATTTTCCAGAGGGGGGCAGAGATGGAGGGAGAAGGGGAGAGAGAGAGAGAAGATGTAATCATGTCAGCTGCAGCTACCCCTAGAGAAGAAATGTGACTTAAACCCACACCGTGGTGTACCTGACCGCAGTTTGTACAAGAGCAGCCAGGCAGCAGGGGGGAGTCTCAGGTTGCAGGTGTCTGAGGCTGGGCACCTGGAACAAAGGTGCCCAACTTCAATGTCAGCCTGAGGACTCGCCTGACGAGATGGTGAAACTGCCAGTAAGAAGTCAGACATTTTTTAATCAAGCCAGCTTCTTCCATTCTCACAAGTGTGAAAGGCCAAAAGAAATGAGAGGAGGGAGCAAGCCAAGGGACTTTTCCCGGCAGAGTCCGGCACACTCCCAACGGGCACCTCTCCTGCACCATGCATCGGGACGAGCAGACTGATTTCTAAAGGTGGCACAGCATGTGAAATTCTAGACTCGGGATGATGGTAACGGGGTAGCTCAGCTTTCCTGTTCTGTTTTGGTTGCTCGGAATGTAATCATATACCTCCAGGGAATAAACCTACCCCTTCTGGAGAGAGAATGTGTGTGTGCAAGTACGTGTGTTAACACGTGTGTGCATGTGTCCACATACATGTGTGTGGAAAAGATGCTAACTTGCCTGTCCTGGGGAAACTCACAGAGAGCACCCCTGAGAAGCCTCAACCAAATAGAGAAAGAGGGAGGGAGGGAGGGAGGGAAGGAGAGAGAGGAGCAATCTTTGAAACTGATGTGTCAGCCCTGGATTTTTCACTTATGTAACCACAGGGCAGTTTGGGGAAGGAAGGCACATTCTCCACTGCACTTTACCTCTATCCATCAGCTCCAAAAACCAGAGGCCGTTTCAATCACTTGGTCAATAGCTCAGGAAAAGCACAGAGTAAAAGCTCAACTCCTCTGCTCTCTCTGCATTTCACCTCAGGTGCACCCCTGGGATACCTGACCAAACATCAATGCTTCTACGTCACCCCAGGCCCAGAAAAGGAACCTGAGGCCCCGGTTTCAGGCAAACGCTTGAGGACTTACTTGGGTGAGGCCTTCCTGCAAGCATCCACCGGGGGTCGTAGGAAGCTCTGGATGGCAGGAATTCGATTTCTCTGTCAATGGGGTCAGTGGGTGTGATGATAGGGACCGGACTGTGATTATCCTAGGAAAGAAAGCCAGGTCTCCAACTCAGTCTCCCTTGCTTGTCAACAATGCCTGGGATTAAGCCCGGCTGTGCAGCAGAAGCCCAACCCTAACTACCTAAATCACCGCAATTCTGAGCAGCATTTGGCGAGGACCTACCAAGTGCTGGGCTCCAAATATCACTGCACTTAATCATCAGGATAACACCTTGGGGTAGGGGATACTGTTAATCCCATTTCACAGATGAAGAAACTGAGACTCAGAAAGATTAAGAGACTGTCCCAAAGTCACACTGCTACTGAGGAGAAAGCCAGAAATCAAATCCAGCCAACCACAAAACTTGAGGATTCTCTATTGTCCAATGCTACCTCTTTTGACAAGAGGCGATGCCATCCCTTCCTAAAGGACCAACGGATAGCATCCCTATGTTAATTTTTTTTTTAAGCGAAAAATAGCTTGTACGGGGCTGGTGTCAGAGAGGCAAGGGAGGAGTAAAGAAAACTTCACCTGGCTACATCGGCAGCGCTCCTTGCTCCCCACGTTCCCACACCACCCCGCAAGTGAACCTGGTAAGAATCTTCCCAGCTCTAAGCTGCAGGGGGCAGGGGTGAGGATACTGCACCTTTGGCATATAGGACAGCCACTCCAGGATGGTATAAACGCCCTCGAAGTCGTCCGGCACAGTGACGTGGGAGATGCCATTGTAATACATGATCTGCACGCCACCCAGCTGGTTGTTGGATGTGTAAACATCTCTGCCTAGGACCTGCTTTGACACGGCATGGTTAGTAAGTGCTGTCTGGCTGGGTGCCCTTGCATCTGTCTGGAAGTCATCTCCCTTAGTGGTCTTCAACCCTGGTTGCATGTTAGAATCACCTGGGAGCTTTCAAAAATCTGGATGCCCATGCTGCACCCAGACTCATGATATACGAGAATCTTTGGTAGGTTTTTTAACTTCCAGAAAATTCCAACATGCAGCCCAATTTAGAGAATCAGTGATCCAGCTGATTACTTTGGTCATCTCAAAAGCAAAACTCTACCTAGTGTTTCTGAGCCAGCAGGTCTGGGGCGGGGCCTGAGAATCTGCATTTCTAACGAGTTCCCAGGGGATGCTGATGCTGCCAGTTCAGGGGCTGGACTTTGAGACCCTCAGTGGGATTTTAGCCAACATTATATTATTATAGAGGCCTTATAGCAATGTGGAAAATGTTTCATAAAATGAAAAAAGTAGAATACCAAACTACATATTTACTATCAGTCATGTAAAGCAGGGGTCCTCAATCCCCAGGCCACGGACCAGTACCGGTCTGTGGCCTGTTAGGAATCTAGCCACCCAGTAGGAGGTGAGCAACAGGCGAGCCAGTGAAGCTTCACTCCGTGGCCTGTTAGGAACCTAGCCACCCAGCAGGAGGTGAGCAACAGGCGAGCCAGTGAAGCTTCACCTGTATTTGCAGCCACTCCCCAGAGCTAACATCGCTGCCTCAGCCCCATCTCAGATCATCGGGCATTAGATTCTCATAGGAGCACCGGTCCCTGGTGCCAAAAATGTCGGGGCCATTGACAGATGATGATGAGAGGGAAATACACCAAAATTATAGTAGGACCACAATTACTTTTTTTGGTAATTTTCCAATTTCATGCAATCTGTAATGCTATCTTAATATTTTCTTTTCATTTAATAATGTTTTAAAATATAAAAATTAAAAACATTTAAATATAGCGTTCCACCAGAAGAGCCTAATACTTTTGGGGGGAGAGATTCATAAGAGGCCCAGAAAATTGCGAATTGGAAACACAGCCCTTATGTCAGTAGGAATGAAACTGGCTTTCTACTGAGAAAAATCCCCTCAGGGAACAGTGGGAATGTTACAAGGACCCCAGGCCTCTTCCCCGTCACCTTGTTGAGAGCACTGGCTCCTGTCAAGATGATGTGGGAGTTTTCCACTTGGATCACTCGCTGGCCCAGCCTCACCAAGTAGGCCCCGATCCCAAGGGCTCGGCAGGTCACCTGTGGAGACAGGATCCCTTCTGAATTCCCAAGGGTGGCATGCCCCGCCCCGGCACAGCAAGGACAGGGGGATTGCCCAGGAACCCACTGGACGCAGATGGAAGCTACGACATTGCCACTGGCAACTTGACTTGGGGCCACACAACAGAGGCGAAGCCTGCCCTTCAGGCTCCCGCCTAATGTTTGCTTCCTGGCGATAAAGAACATGGTTAACCAAGAAGAGTGGTGAATCAAGCAGACATGGAATGTTCTGGTTCTTCTGGGCTGGGTCATTCACGAGCCATCGCAGCCTCTTACACACCCAAAAGGATGGCTAGGAGTGTGTGTGAAATTGGTGAAATGCGAGTAAGCTCTGCACTAAGAGTATTGTGCCAACATCAATGTCCTAGTTTTGACAATGTACTATGGTTATGGAAGACACTGTCATGGGGGAAGCTGGGTGAGGGATACACGGGAGCTCTTTATAGTAATCTTATAACTTTTGCTGAGTCCAAAACTATTTCGAAATAAAAAAAACAAACACACACACAGTTGACCCTTGAACAACACAGGAGTTAGGGGCACTGACACCCCAACCCCTGCAGTCAAAAATCCACATATAACTTCTGACCCCACCCCACCTCCGACAAACTTAACTATTAATAGCCTACTGTTGACCTGAAGCCTTACTGATAACATAAACAGTTGATTTTTACATGTTTTATATATATATTATATGCTCTCTTCTTAAAATAGAGTAAGCTAGTCTACGGCCACACCACCCTGAACGTGTCCGATCTCGTCCGATCTCGGAAGCTAAGCAGGGTCGGGCCTGGTCAGTACTCGGATGGGAGACCACAGAGGAAGACCAGGTAGTTAAAAAAAAAAATAGAGTAGGCTAGAGAAAATAAAATGTTATTTAAAAAATCATAAGGAAAAGAGAACACATTTACAGTGTTTATTGAAAAAAAAAATCCACATATAAGTGGATTCAGTTAAACCCATGTTGTCCAAGGGTCAACTGTGTATATATATATATATATATGAGAGAGAGAGATATATACATATGTATATATATGAGATATATCTTTTGGACTATGTAAACATATATATCTTTTTATACAATACAGATATTTCAAAATGAAAAAAATATTTTTAAATATGTAAAAAAATATATATTTTTACATACATATTATATTTTTTTATTTTGAAATATATACAAAATAAATACATATAGTATCTGGAAAACAAGCCTAAGGAAGCCACTCATGGCTAGCATTTTCACCCTGGAAACTGAAGATCCAACACTGAATGTAAAAATAAGGTCCTGAATAACAGTTTACCATTAAAGATTACTGCTACTGCTACTATGAAAAAGAGAAAATATTTTTGAAAAGGCCCAGAGAGGAGATACTCATTCAGTACCACTTAAAATTGGACAAAGTTCTTCTGAATACTCAATATCTTCTAAAGAAGAGGAGACTGGACCCTGATTCAAACAAACCAACTATTAAAAGGCATTTCTGAGATAACTTAAAACTGAACCCAACCTGGGTTCTGGTCATATTAAAGAACTGGTTGTTGGTGTTGTTGGATGTAATAATAGTATTGCAGTTCTGTAAATTGTGGGGGGAAAGTCCTTATCTCGTAAAGATCCACACTGTGGTATTTACAGGTGGAAAGATATGATAGGGGGTTTGCTTTAAAATATTCCAAATTGGGAGACAGAGGGGTTGAGGACATAGTTGGAGCTGCATGATGAACACATGGGGCCCACAAAGTCTCTATAAGAAATAGTTGAGACATAAAAGAAAATAAAGAGAAAACTCACCAAGCTAATGGTGATAATCTCTTCATAAGCCAGGGAGGACTCCCCAGCAATTGTGCCTGAACCCCGCAGGTTCTCCACGCCCAGTTCATCATCCTTCCCAATGATATCTGTGATGACATACCTTCAAGAACCAAACACAAGTTAAAGACCGAGATCTAGTCCAGAATAATCCAAGGCTGATGCATTTCCCAAGGATCTGAGGCAGGGGAGACAAGCAAGGTGAGGGACCGGAAGGTGATAAAGCATCCAGAGGTGAAATGAAAGCAGAGATCTGGAACCTTCACGATTGGCCCTAAAGTTTCTAGAAGAGCAAGTTCAGCATCAATAATTGTCATCCCCCCAACCAAAGTTGTCTGCCTGTTCAGAGGCTGTCTTAATGAAATGTCATCCCCTGTGCATTTCTCCAAAAGTAATCTAGAGTAACATTTCATCTACAGAGAGGGGAGTATACTTGGGAAGCCACTTGGTTCATGATCAATCAATCGATCGATCGATCAATCAATCAATCAATCAAGATTCCATGCCCACATAAGCCTGAGAGACACTGTACAGCATAACCTGTTAGAGATTCATAACGTGCCTCAGCACATTAAGGATTCAGAGAAGGCCTGCAGTAAGGATGCTTGTTAGATCCCATTTAACTCAGTGTTTCCTAAACCTACCTGACTATGGAAATTTTTCCTCCCTCCCACATATCACCAACTAACATTCCAGAAAACTCAGCCTGGGAAAATCCATTTAATCAACCTTGCTAAAAAACAAACAAACAAGAAAACGAACTAACAAACAAAAAACCCCCAACGATCCCTAGAAAAGACAGCCAGTGGCCTTGGAATTCTCATAGAGGAGACCCCTGCCCTACCTACACTTTCCCAGCTTGCCCAATCACTGCTGCATCAGTGAATCTGCAACTCTGAGGACATCAAAGGAATCCAATCTAATTCTCCTTGTGTGATGTGCTATTTTTGTGAGAGGCAAGACTCCTTTGGGGATGACAAAGGTGGGTTCACCCTACAGAATGCCCCAGGTAAGCTCAGGAGCCCCACTGTATAAAAACCACTACCCATTTGAAAACAGCACCACAAGCAGGGAGGCAGAGAGACAGATTCCCCAGTAGTAGCTGAAATTAACCACAGGCAAAATGAAGCAGCTGCCCGCTGTCGTTTACCTGGATTCTCCTTCTTCTTCTATGTGTTTACAATGGACGGAGTTCAGGGAGCTGATTTTGGTGTAGTCTTGAGGGGTCAGGTACAGGTATTTAAATCCCTTAAAAAAATATACTCCGGTGAGGCTATGACTCCAGTTCCCTGCACTCAAGCAGTCTTGTTTTTTTAAAAATGTCAATACTGTAGAGGCAGATGTCAGTAACATGTTAACAATGTGTCGATAACATGTCAATGCATTAATAACGTGCTAAGGTATCTGATGTTAATGCCATGTCAATAACAGCTACAAAATGAAGATCTGCTCTGTGCTAAGTGCTTTCCCACTCATCCTTACAACACAACCTCACTTTTTTTCTGGGCTGATTCTGTTTCTCAAGCATCTTTTCACTACTGCTCCTCTAAGGAGTCTTCTTAGATATTTTCTTCATTGCCAGCCCCACCTAATTTTTATTATAGATATATTCTTTATGTGTCATGTGTGTGTGTGTATATGTGTGTGTATGCTTTTTACATGAAAAGAATGATTTTGGCCCCTTTGGGGGAGGCAATATCATCGTCCCCTTGGAAATGCATGCTCTAGTTGTAAAGAATGACTGTCCCCTGCATTTTCACATCACAAAATGTGTGCTTATCTCTCGTTCATTTTGCCTTGTAGTGTACTTGGTGTCCCTGTATCTTCCAGATGATATTTAAGAACCCTTCGAGGCCAGAAACTATGTATTTTTCATCTTTGCATTCTCAGTGTCCACCGCATTTAGGAGATGCTCAGTGTGTGTCAGCTCAGTGTTTACAAATGTTTTTTGCATTATTGTCCCCGTAAAGAGTTTTTTTAGACAGTTTTTCCTAATCACCATCCCCTCCCATTAAATTTTAATACCGACATACTGCATGCCTGTTTATGTACTGGATGGATAGATACCTGTGCTTTATATATAAAAAGAGTAATAAGACTTTTTCCACTCCCCTTGTGATACTATCACCTCCCACAACGAAAATACAATGCTAGCTGAGTGGAATCACACCACTACACCTGCTTCGTGACGTACTTTGTGGGGGTCTTCTGGGCTCACCCAAGCCACCTGGAACATGTGTTTGATTTCCTCTGCAAGACCGATACGGGCCCCACTGTTGGCTGCGAGGTAGATTTTGGGGATACCCTCTGCCCGGGCCATCTCAGAGGCCCGCAGGTACAGAAGGTCCTCTCGTAGGCCAAAGGATCCGATGCGGAAGGTGATATCATTGCTAATGATGATCACGTCCCGCCCTTCTGGATACTCTCGGGTCTTAAACCTCATTTTGAAGGCCACCATGCCCACCTGGTGACGAATGCACAAGGAAAACAGGTTTGTGTCTTCGGGTAAAGTTTTTTGAAAGGGTGATTCCAGTCCGGGACTGGGCTATGCTGAGTTCTTACCTCATTTCCTCCAGGAAGTCGGTTCATTTCCACCAGCTGGCCCTGAGGGTCCAGTACGAGTTCAGTGTATGTCAGGATATCTTGCGGGTACTTGTCTGGGGAGCCCCACAGTTTAAAGAGAGCCTGGAGAGAGAGGAAGAAAGAGAAAAACTTGAAGTCGTCAGTAGAGGGGCACATTTTCTAAATCTTTCTTTTTAAATCATGAATTGTTTAGAGCACACAGAAAACATGCAGAATAATAAATACCTGAGCATTCAGTTCATGGTTTTGTCAAATCGTAATTTTTCCTTAGTTGCTTAAGATTTTTTAAGGAAATAAGAAAAATGTGGTTGAAGCCCCGAGTGTACCCCTCCCCATCCCATTCGTCCTTCTGCCTCCCCCCAGGTCATCATTATCCTGAATTTAGTGTCTACCAATCCTTTGCATGTTTATGTTTTTATTTCATCATGCATGCATACTTTTAAAATATGTAGTATTATTTTGAGTGACTTAAACTTTAAATAAATGTTATCACACTGGACATGTTCTTCTGCACCTTGCTTTTTCAAGTCCCTGATGTGTTTGGGAGATGTATCCATATCGATAAATTTAGCTCTGGTTTCTTCATTTTCCATGCTATTCAATCTTCCATGGTATGACTATATCACAATTTATGTATTCATAACTCTTTTTAGGAACATTTTAGGTTGCTTCCAATTCTACAGTATTATCAAATGGTGTAATGAACATTCTTATAGTCTCTTCTTATAAACACGAATGAGTTTCACCAGGTATATACCTAAAAGTGGAACTGATGGGCCATAGGGTTTGTGAAACTTTGATTTTACTCGATATTATTAAATTGCTCTCAAATTTCTGAAACCCTTTACAGTCCCAGTAAGACTTTATAAGAACTCCTTTGCTCCACGTACTTGCCAACACTTAGTTTTGTCAAATATGTTAACATTCACCCATCTGCTGAGTGTGAAATTGTATTTTAGTACTGATCTGTACTTCACTGATTATTAGTATGGTAAAAGCCTTTGAATATGTTTATTAACCTGATGAGTTTCTTTTTTTGTCAATTTCCTATTTATAATTTCTGCCCATTTTTTAAAAATAGTTTTGCTTGGTTTTTTTTTTGATTTATAAGAGCTCTGTAAATCTAATTCTAATCCCTTGCTGATAACAGGCATTGAAACATTCTCCCAGTCTGTGGCTGGTCTGTTCTCTTTTATATAAAGAACTTCCAAATTTTAATAAAGTGAATTTTACAGGTCTTTTTCTGTATAACTTATGCTTTTAACTGACTCCACGTAACTTTAACCCTCTTGAAATTTATTTTTGTATACTAAATGATGTAGAAATCAAAATTCGTCTTTTCAGTTAGAAACTTTCTCGTATATTTTAGGGTAGTTTGTTTCTTTGACTCATGATCCCACTTCTGTATTCTGTCAAGTTTCTGTTTATGAATGGTTTCTGTTTATGAATGGTTTCTGTTTATTCTAGGCGCTAGTCTGTTCCACTGGTCTATTTGTCTAGCTCTATTACAATCATACGACATTGTATTAAGTACTGCTGCTTTAAATAAGTAATAACATCTGCTAAGATGAGTCCTCTTGACTCTGTCATGGGCTTTTGCTTTTCTCTATGAATTTTTAGGTTTCACCAAAAAACTCTGAAATTATACTGAATGTATTAATTTGGGCCCAACTAATATCTTTACAATCTTAAATCTTCCCATAGTTATGCATGATTTATCATAGCATTTATTTAGGCTTAAAGTATTTTTAATACAGTTTTAAAATTTCTTCCATAAAGGCCTTGTATGTTATTTGATTTATTCCTAGGAAACCTTACAGTTGATCTTAATACTATTATAAGTGGCATTTTTTTTTTCTAATTTCATTCTACAGTTATTGCTGGTTTATGAGAATGCAATTAAGTTTTGTATATTGATCTTGTATCTAGCATTCTTGCTGTGCAGTCTAACTGGTTCTATAGATTCTCTTGGATTTCTTATATAAACATTTATATCATCTACAAAAAACACCATTTTGATTTTCCTTTTTTAGTCTTTATATCTTTTATTTTTCTTATCTTATTGCATTGGCCAGGACCTCTTGTAAAAAATACTGAATAGAATTGAGGATAATGGCTAATTCTGTCCTGTACTTGTCTTTAAAGAGAATACTTCATTAGGTTTTAGTAAGTTGATATCTTTTATCAAGATAAATTCCTTTCTGTTCCTAGTTTATGAAAAGTTTTTATTTGAACAGATGCTATCTTGTCAAATACTTTTTCTATACCTACTAAGAAATTTAAGTTTTTTCTTAATCTATTAAAATGATAAATTATATAAATAGATTTTGTAATATCAAATCGTATAAGTAGTCAGGAGATAAACCTTGATCTAAATATTTTTTTAAAAACCATTACTGGATTTTATTTGCTAATATTTTATTTATAATTTTTGTGTAAATGTTCATAAATGAGAACTAATTTCCCTTCTCTTAATGTTCTTATCTGGGAATAACGTTAAGGTAATAATAATCTGAGAAAATAAACTAAGAAGCATTTTTTTTCATACTATCTAAACAATTTGTATACAAAGGGAATTATCTATTATTTGAAGGTTTGATAGAAATGGCTATAAAATCATCTGGGCCCAATTTACTAAATAGATTTTTTTAAACTATCATTTCAATTTCTTTAATGTTTATACTCTATTTAGATTTTCTACTTGTTCTTCAGTCAGGTTTGATATTTTTCTTGAAAATTTTCCATTTCATCTAAGTTTTCAAATTTATAGGTTAGCCATAGTGTTCTGTTTCCTTATTTAAAAGAAAGGGGATGGATTTGTGCCTGATTTGTCTGTTTCTTATCCTATGGTCCTTGAGGTCAAGGCAAAAAGATACAAACAATGACATCCTTAATCTTAAAAGTTTCCATTTATTAAGCATCTATTGAATACTTTATATATATATATTTCTTAAAGCAACCTTGTGAGGTGGATACTACTATTATTCTCATTTTACAGAGAAGGAACTATAGCCCAGAGAGGTAAAGAAACTTGCCCAGATACACACAGGGAGCAAAGGACAGATCCAGGATCCAAGCCCAGACCTGAGTGACTTTAAAACACGTAGTGACTTTAAATAGCTGTTCCTACTATTACGTGTCTCCTATGCTTGAAGTGAACTGATGCTTTCTTGCCTACAGTGAAAGGTCCATGACCTCATTCTCACGAATGTCATTCACGAATGCAGCTTTTTCCGCTGCAAACGGGGTCTGTGACCCCAACTCCAAGGTCCATGACCTCATTCTCACGAATGTCATTCACAAGGCAATGGAAGGGATGTAACATACATCTATATCACTGATATCAGTGTGTTCAGTCTTCTTGAAAGGCCCTACTACAGAAAAATACTAAAGGCATAGGGAAAAAAAAAAATACTTGAGGGAAACACACTAAAATGTTACTGCAGTCCTCAGTGGTGCATAGTATATACAGGGGAAATTTTATTTGCTTATTTCTATTTTTCTGTATTTTCCAGTGGATACTTTAATAATCAGAAAACCATGACAAAACATTATTTTTTAAAAGTAGACTAAAAATTTCTCAAAGGCAGTGATTTTATCCTCTTTCTCATGGTCCATCTACCCTTAGAATGGTACCTAGGAAGTAGCAGGTACTTAAATGAGCAGTGAAAAGATCAGAAGGAAATACATCAAAATGTTAAGCAATCTGTCTTTAGGATGTGGAACTGAGTTACTTTTTTTCTTCTTTCCACTCTCCTTTATTTTCAGAAGTTTCTGTATTATATCCCTTTTATCACTGGGATGAAATTGGGTTTATTTTAGGAAAAAAAATACTATGAAGCCATTCCCAATATTATAGTTGACCCTTGAACAACATGGGTTTGAACTGTGCAAGTCCACTTAGATAATTTTCAATAAATACTGTAAATGTATTTTCTCTTCCTTATGATTTTCTTAACATTTTCTTTTCTCTAGCTTATTTTATTGTAAGAATACAGTATATAATGTATATAACATAGAATATACGTGTTAATCAACTATATTATCAGTAAGGCTTCCAGTCAACAGTTGGCTATTGGTAGTTAAGCTTATAGGTAGTTAAGTTACATGCAGCTTTTTCCGCTGCAAACGGGGTCTGTGCCCCCAACTCCCATGGTGTTCAAGGGTCAACTGTAATTTCTTTTTCTTCATGAAGGCCTAGTCCTTTAGGCTGGGGTCTTCAGAGGAGCAACTGAAGGCAGGAAGGTGTGGTTTGTGGAGTCCCTAAGGTGACCCGGGGTGTTGCTGCGTCTCAGACTCAGGACTTGCCTGCCTGAACATTTCTGGGAAGTCGTACACATAGGTGGTTCCCAAGGACTGGGCCTGGAATCGCTTGGCCTGAAGCAGATCCTTGGTGACATAGGGAGTATTGATCAGCATTCCGTGCTGAGGCCCTTGTTTGTTGCCAAAGGAGTGAAACATGATCTGAATCAAAAAGAAAAAACAAACAAACAGCGCATGAGGGAGGCAAGTCTCAGAGAACCACACTCCTGCTTAATTTATTTCTACCCAGTCCTCAATGAAACACAGTGGGGTGTGCAAAACATATCAGATCACATAACAAAGTGAGTGCCTGGAAGACCTAATCTCTTCTCTGCCACTATGGGCAACTAGAATAAGGAGGAGGAGCGGGAGATGTGGAAACATAGCCCCCAAAATGTAACTACCATAGTACTATACATAGACACAGACACACACACCCCACAAATAACAAGAGTGTATAAAAACTGGTGAAACTTGAATAAAGTCTGCATTTGAGTACCCATGTCAATTTCCTATTTTGACAAGGTCCTACAGTTACGTAAGACGCTATCATGGAGAAGTTGGTTGAAGGGTACATGGGAACTCACTGTACTATTTTTGCCTCTGTACTAATTTTGCAACTTCTTGAAAGTAATTATTTCAAAATAAAGTTATATTTATAGAACTGGCAGTCAATTGGATATTTGATTCATTTTACAAAAGTCTGTTCTAAAA